AGAAGGACCATTGTCTCTCTAATTGTGTGTGACCCAATCGTCTCATGCTCTTTAGGAGTCTTGAAATGAACGCACATACATTTCTCTAATTAACTAACACTTAACATCCCATATATCAGGTGACATAAAAATGAATATACCAGAATTACACTGTATTAAACTTTTTGCCATAACACTTTATTTCAATTCTTCAGTGCACACAAAAACATAACTTGGAGAAATAAATAAATACGGATATGTTATTTAAAACCACCTCGAATATGTTGTGTTAATATTATGAAATGTTTTCTCATAAATGATGCGGTTTTGCATTTCTATAGGTTGTACGAGCATGGTTTTATATACTACCATGTTTAATCATGTTTTATGCCGTTTGCTAAGACTTGATAAGTCGCTCATAAAACACAGGAGGTATGGAAACTAAGAACACCATATGTGGTCAATTGTACAGATGATATAACACAACACATTAGTTGTATTTCCTTTAACTGGTGGATATAGAGTTGCTGCAGTGGAGACGCTGCGCACAGCTGATCGACAGCTGGGACACAAACCACCAAATACGAAAACATAATTCAGATCCAGTCGTCATGACTCCACTCCGGAGGGATTCCCCGATCATTTCTTACAGTCTCTCATCAAGGGGGTGTCTCCTGTCCCCGGTACAAACACACTGCCTGAGGAAGGCTATGTGTATTCTTTTTTTGTCATGAACCTTTTTCGGACCACTTATTTTGGTGACGATCCGACCTCCATGCTGCTACTCTGGTTCAAACGGCATCCACCAAACAATTATGATTTATCTCGACCTCCCCAAAATAACCAGAATCTGACACGGTGTGAGATGTATTTTTTAGCTGTTCTGTCGTCATTTCTTGCGATCTTCTTCATAAAGTCAGTCAAAATGAATGAATGAATGGGCGTTTCTTTGACTATTTATAGGCAAATATGGGCGTTACGTGAAGCCCGCAAAAGCTGCACCGCATTTCGAGTCGGTTGTGATTTATAAAGGGAAACCAGCGTAGGAAGTGCTGTACGCACTTTCGTCGCCGGTACGCAATGTTTGGTGAATCGGAAAATGTCGGAAAATGTCTGTACCTATTTTTTGGATTTCTACTACGTAAGCAACCTTCCCACGTGAATCCTACGCACGGCGTTATAAATGAGGCCCCTGATCACGGCGTAACAATGTAAGGATCGTGGGTGTACCGGAAGAAACAACCATCACTAACACAACTGCCGCTATTTCCACTCTGCTTAAAGAGGCTTTTAAGCTGGAGAAAGAGCCACTTCTGGAACGCGCCCATCGCACCCTCCAGCCGAAGCCGAGACCTGGCGAGCGCCTCCGCACCATAATTGCCCGACTTCACTACCATGCGGACTGTGCTGATATCTTGCGGAGAGCCAGAGCCCAACAACGGATCAAGATCGGTGACTTTGTCGTCTCCATATTCCCTGACCACACCTCGAGGACAGCCCGTGCCCGTGCTGCCTTCAATGACGTCCGCCGTCAGCTCCGTGAGATACCGGGGATACGTTTTGGTCTGCTTTACCTAGTGCGACTCCGCATTACCCATGGCGGTACCGAGAGGCAGTTTAATTCACCGGATGACGCCGAGACATTCATTAAAACACTGGTCAAGTAAGGGATCTTAACACACCATGATGAACACCTCTGGAACAATTATTTACTCTTTATTTTACTTAAATCCATACACCAAGTTCTCTGTATGTGGAAGTTGATCTGGTTATAGTGCCTTGCTCTATATCAATCTCAAGTTTGCAGGAGCTTAACCTAAGTTTAGCTTTCACTATTAGGTCACAAGCTGTTAGCCATAGGAATTTGACTCCTTGTGGAGTTAGCACTGGGTTCTCCATCGTTTGGGGATGGGGTCGATGTAAGTGCTGCTATGGGATGGGTGGGAGGGGCTGGGATTGTTTACTGTGTGTTTTTTTATTTTATTTTATTTATTTTTTCTATTGCTTTGTTTCCCTCTATGTCTCTTTCGGGGTGGTGCTTCATAGTCAGTTGTCTCTTTATAGAAAGTCCTCAGTAAATTTCTACCAATACTAGCAATTTAGGAATCGCTCCTGGCTCACCAGTGAAGTTTGTAAGCTGGAACATTAAAGGTTTGGGGAGCCCCTTGAAGAGATCCAGGGTATTTGCTCATCTGAAACGACTTAATGCAGACATAATGTTTCTACAAGAAACCCATATGCGCTCCACAGACCAGGTCAGGCTTAAGTGTCCATGGGTTTCTGAGGTGTTCCATTCAAACTTCAACTCTAAGTCCAGAGGGGTTGCCATTTTAATTGGTAAGTCTGTTAATTTCACATTTTCCAAGTGTATAGCGGATGACAATGGCAGATATTTAATTATCTCAGGCACGCTGTTTCATGTTCCTGTATTGTTAGTAAATATTTATGCCCCAAATTCTGATAACCCACACTTCATGAACAAGCTTTTTGAATGTCTTCCGTCACTGCATAATAACCATGGGGCAAACTCTGGGGAATAGCCGGGACGCCAATACGGAAGTGCCACACACTGCAGTTCATATATTGGCCGAAAGGCGATGGCTGCAGAAAGGAGCAATTTCCATAGCCCCCCCATGTTAAAATGCCCAATTTTACAGGAGAAAAAACATGTTTCTACCCCTGGCTCCATAAATTGTATTATCGATATAGTTAGATTCCACCTTCATGATTATGGATCTGTGAGTGAATTGTTTTCTAACACGACCCTTTTATTTATATTAGGTCTTAAAGTGTTTGCATAAATTAGGGCGTGGTCATATTGAGTGACGGCTCTGTGAAGTGACTGCTACTGCTAGCTTCTTGTCTCTCTGCTACCTGCTCCGTGAAGCTAGCTACAGGGTAGTGATGGGAATTTCGGCTCTTCTTGGTGAGCCGGATCATTTGGCTCGGCTCACCAAGAAGAGCCGGCTCTTTCGGCTCCCAAACGGCTCTTCAGTTTACCACTTATTATACCTTTTAATTAAATCAAATGTAGCCCTGTTTTGACTAATGATTTATATGTGTACACATATATCACTTAAATTATTCAATACATCCTTTGTATTGAAGTATTCAAAAGTAAAAATTACATGTTTAATATAAATGATTTGCTGTGGCCAATTGTTTTCATTGCATTTACAGACACGTGCAACTCTCTGATACCACCCAATGAATGCATTGACTTGCTTGTAGAACCACGCTACACAAAACAGATAGCAACACCTATAAAACTATTTTAAAAAAGGGGCTACTGTATCGACCTATATAAAGTATATAAATATTTTTTTTTTTCAAAATACCAAAAAGATCCTGCACCATGCCTCATTTCGCTCCATTTGCTCTTTCCAGCGCTGTTTTTGCAGGGGGCTGATTCTGTGAGCTGCAGCTGACCACGCCCCCCTGCAGGAGAGGGGAGCGTGCTCTGAGATCAGCTGCTGGGCTGTCAGAAGAGGGGGAGAATCTCCGTCCTCCGTGTTTTATTTTTATAGAAGTAAGAAGAGAAGTAATGGGGCAGAAACCCTCCTTTTTACGCAGTGGTCCAGACATAGACATCAAACGGCGACACATATTCAGTTGCCAGTTACTTTGGCATTAGGGCAGGGATATCTAGATACTTTCCAAGGTTTGACATAATGAATTGTGCTACTTTTAAAGCAAACAACGATGTTTTCAAATCTGTAATCAAAAAGCTCCTCAAAAACACTATCGAAGCAGTTCCTGCCGTTGCTACATTAGTTCGAACAGTAACAACGGACTACTTTTCTTAGCGGATGCATGTCAATTTAAATCAATACATAAAACTATTTTTTAAATCACTAAAATCATTTTCTAAATCCATAAAAGCATTTCCATTAATATTGGGAGTCATGTCGTTACTTTGTTGAGAATGTGGCCATGTAATAAGCAGGATAATGTGCACATTGCACATTGCATAATGTGCCTTCATGCCGATCTAGATCCCTCCGCAAAAATGGCTCGTTCGCGGGCGAGAGCCGGTGTTATGCCGTAGGTTGAAGCCTTGCCGTAGATTAAAGCCCTGTTCGCGGGGACGCGCAAAGGTGACGTCATCGCCTGTATTGAGCGTTCGCCGTTTTCTAAGCTTTTTTCACCCTTTTCTAAGCTTTTTTTCTCTCTTTTGAATGATATATCAGATTAAACAGCAAACGGCTGAATAAATAATGTGCATACAATTGCGAGGAGGCTCGTTTTAAGGACACGTTTCTCAGATCTGTCACAATCTTCGTATTGGAATACACTTACGTTTTTGAGTGCAGTCCCACTCTGTTATATTCCTCCTTCCTACAGAACAGACAATGACAGGATAATATGTAATTTGTCAGTATAGTCCTATTTCTTAAAACCTTCTCTGTTGTTTAAGTGTCTGATAACCACGAATAGTAAGCAATGATATAACCGTAATGATATCACATATATGATCATGTCAGACACTGTGTGGTGGCGTTTTAATCCTTGTCTACCATTTAATAGCCACCTCTATCGGGGTTGTGGGTTTTGACGCGCCTCTCTTTGTTTCCAAACAATTCAGCGGAGATCGTAGTTGAATCAGATGAGCTTTATTCACTGATCCACACGGTGCATACAGGAGGACACATTTCTTCGCTTCATAGTAACTCAAAAGTGCATCATTTTCCAAAGTAACAAAAAGAACACGGTCAAAAGACTTTTCCATTTCCCCGTCTATCACCCCCAGCTGTGTCCTATCAACCTACCATATATAGGCATAGCCATGCACGTGATACTGACGCACATATAACAAATAATAAGTGAGCCTTAAATTAATGCATTTTAAACCATAATGTGACTCACAAAAATAGCCAATAATTTACAGTATAATCTAATTTATATTATTATTAAGCCCAACATTCAGACAATAATAACAAAAGGTAAAATGGCTCTAACATACCAGCCCCTAATTGCTTATTACATAGCAATTACCAATAATAGTACATCAACAGAGTCATTTTTAACAAAACATAACGTCCATCCGTAGCATATTTGTATACTTAAGTCCATAGTATATTGTATACTTTCAAGTCCATGTATATTGTATACTTTCAAGTCCATGTATATTGTATACTTTCAAGTCCATGTAAGACTAGTACTGGAGTGTGTAGGTCTAGTACTAATTGTCTGTAATGGTCTGCGTTCAAAAGGCAGCCTTTGATGGGGAGGGGGTAGGAGACCAAGAGTCTAGTCCTTTGGTCTAACAGTCAGAGGTGCACGTGACTGAAAGGCTAAGGCTTAGTAGGCTCAGTCTGTCGCCTCCAGGAGCAGACATAACTTAGTTATGGGTCTTTCGATCGTACTTGTCTTGGTTTTAACCAGGACACTCCTAACAAGTCCTTTTGAACCAGGAAGGGTCTTAACTACGCGTCCCAGGAGCCAAGTGTTCCTCGGTGCGTTCTCATCAATGATGACGACCAGGTCTCCGGGGGTGAAGTTTCTTTTGATAGTATTCCATTTGTGCCGTTCTTGCATCAAAGGAAGATATTCCCTGGTCCAGCGCTTCCAAAACAGGTCAGCAAGGTACTGCACCTGTTTCCATCTTCTCTGTGAGTACAGATCCTCTCTCTGAAAGAGTCCGGGGGGCAAGATTGGATTTGTTCTTAACTGAAGTAGGTGATTAGGTGTGAGGGGTTCAAGGTCGTTTGGGTCGTTTGTCACTGTTGTGATTGGCCTATCGTTCATTATTGCCTCAACCTCACACAAGGCTGTGTGCAGAACATCATCATCCAATGTTTGTTCCTTCAGGACAGAATGGAGGATCTTTTTAACCAGTCGTATTAGCCTTTCCCACACTCCGCCATGGTGAGCTCCGGAGGGGGGATTGAATGTCCAATCAATTCCTTCTTTGAGTAGTGTTTGCTTGATTTTGTTGTTATCCAGTTGTTTTACAGACTCCTCCAGTTCCTTTTGTGTGCCGATGAAGTTGGTGCCTCGATCTGTTCTGATGCTCTTTATTGTGCCACGACGACAGATGAATCGACGAAGAGCGTTTATGCATGCAGCTGTATCCAAATGACTGGCAGCTTCCAGGTGGACAGCATGGCTTACCAGGCAGGTAAAGATTACTCCCCATCTTTTGACATGAGCTCGGCCACGTTTCACCTCGATGGGTCCAAAATAGTCTATGCCTACATGAGTGAAAGGTGGAAGATCAGGTGTTATTCGATCAAGTGGGAGATCGGCCATTTTCTGCTCTCCAGCTCTAGCCTGTAGGCGTCTGCAAAACACACAGTTCTTTATGATCCTCCTTGCTGAAGAGTTAGCAGCGGATAGCCAGTAACGTTGATGGAGTTTGGAGAGCATGTGACCTCTTCCTGAGTGACCAACTTGATTATGGATGTGGCTTAATATCAACTTGGAGATATTAGAATGTTTCGGTAGAATCATTGGATGTTTGACCTCAGTTGGCATAGCCATCTTTCTAGTTCTTCCTCCAACTCTCAGAAGCCCGGCATCAATGATAGGGTCCAGCTTGTATAGGGAGCTTCCTCTATTGCACTGTTTTCCTTTTTCCAGCAAGGCAATTTCCTCTTTGAAATGCTGTCTCTGCTCGTGGCAAATAATGGCTTTTTCAGCATTTTCTGTGTCCTCTACTGAAAGTCTTAGTGCATTAGCTGTAGGCATATTGAGCAGAAGCATCTGATCCTTCAGTCTCTTTCCTTTATCCTGCCTTGCTCCAAGATCAGTGGAGTCATCTTTTCTTTTTTCTCTCATCTGCAGGAGGATTGTCTTTAATTTCATTATCCATGCAACAGCTCTTTTTAGGTCATTCCATGAAGAATAATAGTCCAAGAGCTTACTTGTTGGAGTTTTTTCCATCTTACATGTGACAATGCTGGTGACAATTGCTTCTTTGCGTACTTCAGGGTCATCTGGAAGGAGAGAACCAAGTTCTTTTGGAATACTTGGCCACTGTGCTTCAGATTTCTTCAAGAATTCTGGACCCTGAAGCCATCCTTTTGAACTGTAAAAGGATTCAATGCTCAGTCCTCTTGAAGCGTCATCAGCGGGGTTGTTTTTGGTGTCTACAAACCGCCACTGGTTCACTTTTGTGAGGTTATGAATAACAGCAATCCGGTTTGCCACGAAAGTGTGGAACCTCTTAGTCCTGTTTCGAATATATTTCAGTACTGACTGGCTGTCAGTCCACAATACTGATTCCAAAAGCTCTCCTTGTAGCTCTGATCGAAGCATTTTGTCCATTCGTGCAGCCAATGTAGCAGCAGTGAGTTCCAACCTTGGAATTGTCATGACTTTTAGTGGGGTAACTCTTGATTTTCCCATCACAAAGGCTACGTGTACCTCCTCCATGTCATTGGTGAATCTCAGGTAACTTGCGGTACCGTATCCTTCTTCACTTGCATCACAAAAGGTGTGTAGCTGTGCAGTTTTCACTCTTCCAAAGTTCTTGGGTTTTACACACCTGTCAATTTGGAATCTGGCCAGCTGGTCTAAATCCTTGAGCCATTTCTGCCATGGTTTTGAGAGTTCCACCTGAATTTCTTCATCCCATCCATATTGGGCTTTACAGAGTAATCGAAATATTTGCTTTGCCTTCAATATGAAAGGGGCGAGAAGACCAAGAGGATCGTACACAGAGCTGACAGTGGAAAGTATACTCCTTCTTGTAAGGGTTTTGTTGTTCACAGTCACACGGAAACTGAATATATCATTTTCAATGTCCCAGTACATCCCTAGTGCTCTTTCATGTGGCAGCTTATCCCTGTCCAGATCCAAGTTTTTCACCTGTTTAGCCTTGTCTTCATCAGGGATGGATTCTAGCACCACTCGACTATTACTTATCCATTTCGTCAGTTTGAATCCACCAAGGGAACACATTTCTCTGAGAGACCTAATAAGGCTTATAGCTTGATTTTCTCTTGCTAGCGACTTGAGGCAATCATCCACATAGAAATTTGATTTGATTGTTTCTGCCACTTCTCCGTCAAATTTGCCACAGTTGTCCTCAGCTGTTCTTCACAATGCAAAGTTTGCGCAGCTTGGAGAGGAAACAGCTCCGAAGAGATGGACCCTCATCCGGTATTCCTCCAGATTTGTGTCTGGTTTCTCCTTCAGGCCACCACAGGAATCTCAGCAAGTTTATGTTCTCCTTGTTTACACGCACTTGGTGAAACATCCCCTCAAAATCTGCCATAATGGCGATGGGCTCTTGACGGAACCTGAGTAGAACACCAATCAATGAGTTTGCCAAGTCAGGGCCCTGAAGGAGTACACTGTTGAGGGATTTGCCTTTATAGGATGATGCACATTCAAAGACCACACGGATCGTTTTTTTACGTTTATAATAGACACCATGATGGGGTATATACCACACTTTGCCGTTTTCCACATGTAGATCGTCCGATGGTACTTTCTCTGCATATCCTTTTTTGATAATGTCACTCATAAAGCCTTTATACTCAGCTGCATAGGTCTGATCCTTCTGGAATTTCCTTTTTAGTGACATTGCTCGTTGCTCTGCCATTTGGCGGTTGTTTGGCATGATAATGTTTGGATTATCTAGAGGAAGAGGTAAATTGTAGTGGCCATCTTTAAGAGAAACCGAGCTTGATACAATCTGCATGAACTTTCGGTCATCAGCTGACATTTGTCTTTCCTCTTCATACTCTTTCTCTGGAAAGTCGTTAATATATTGTCTTTCAATTAGCTTCTCAAGGTGAACAATTGAGATCCTGTTCACTAATGCCACAGGGGTTTCATCATCCAGATCTGTGGAAGCATTAAGTGGACCATTAACGACCCATCCTAACAGTGTTTTCACTGCATATGGGCCATTTCCTTGGCTATTTATAACTCTCCATGGTTCCATAGCCTTTGGAGTATTTACTCCAATAAGAAGTCCCACGTCAGCATCTATTTCTTTTATTTGGATGTCCTGCAGATAAGGCCATTTCTTGAGGTCCGCCTGGGTGAGAATGTTTCTTTTGGTAACAGGGATTTTGTTCTGAGTGTAAACCTTGGGCAAGTTTATATATGTGCCATCTTCCATATGTCCCACTTCTAGACCTGTTACCTCAAAACTCCTGACTGTTTTCTCTGTTCCCATCGTTTGAAGAAGGACTTCAGTTCTCCGTCCTCTAGCACCAAGCCGCCTCATGAGCCCTTCTGTGCAAAATGTGTCGGTACTACCAGGGTCCAGGAATGCATAGGTCAGTATGCTTTTATTTCCATGGCAGAGTTTCACCTTCACTGGCACTATGGCAAGTATGCTGTCTTTACCAGCCCCGATTCCTTCACCTTCTCCTACTGAAACAAGAGCACTGCTGATGGATGTCTCATCAGGCCTTGCTCCCCCACTCTGCTGCTCTGCCTTATCATGTTTAAAGTTCTCAGTTTCAGGCTTAGAAGATCTTTTAATGTGCAGAATAGTTGGGTGCTTAGCATGACAGATTTGACAGGTCATTCTCCTGTTACAGTTCCTGCTCAAGTGCCCCACCTTCAGGCAGCCAAAGCATAGTCCCTTCTCTTTCAGAAACTCAATTTTAGCTTCATGAGATACTGAATGTATTTTATGGCATTCAGCTAAAGGATGTTTACTTGTACAAAAAGTACATGAGGTGTCATTGTTAGTGGAGGAAATGTAGCTTTTAACAGGATATTTGTCTTCTTTGAGTTTCTCTGCATGCCTGTCTGACACTATAGCCACTGTGGTTGCAAAACTGCTCCCTTTGTTCTTATTTCGATATGGATCAACAAGAGTCTTGGTCTTGAAAGCCGCCTTTGTACTGTTAAGTTGATCGGGAATGTCACCAAAGAGAGGGTCTTGAAGTATTCTAGCTTGTCTTTCAATAAATACAACAAGGTCAGGTAATCTTGCTCTTTCATGGCTCCGCTCCAGAATATCACAAGCTGCTGTTCTCCACTTCTCCCTTAGTTTGTAAGGTAGCTTTGAAAGAATGAGCCGTAGGTTGGATGGCAGGTCGAGCTCCTCCATGTTCTGCAGATCCCTCATTGCATTACAGCAGCCTCTCAGAAAAAGTGCATAACAGTGCAGTGACATCCTCTGCCTTTATAGTGTTCCAGTTGAGAGCTTTTCCCATATATGCGCTTGCTATCTTGAGCTCATCTCCAAAATGCACTTTTAGCAGTCTCTTAGCTTCAGCAAAGCCACTATTAGCATCCATGTGAAGGCAGCTTCTCACCAGTTCCCTGCAGGATCCCGAAGTATATTGTTCCAGGTAATATAATCGATCCTGGTTACTGGTGGTTTTCTCCTCAATGCTATGTTGAAATGCCCTCACAAATATTTGATAATTCAGGGGATTGCCATCAAAGACTGGGATTTCCCTAGTGGGCAGTGATGCTTGTTTTTGTTGAAGTACAAGTAAATTAACAATGTCATTTTGTCTTTGCATCACAGTCAGGAAATTGTCATTAGTATTTGTCCCTGTAATTCCTGCATCTCTAGCTGTTTGTTGAGAGCTTTGATTTGCATTATCAATATTTTCTGGTGGTCTTGGTTGTTGGTGTATAAGCCTTTGAAGTGGTGTCTTGGGAATGGATCCGAACTCAGCAAAGGAAATTGGAGACGGCTCTGCATCCATTGACATGTGTTTTTAATCTGTAGTCCTTTAAATAGTCATTCATGCCATCATATTTTCCTTGTGTTGGATTTTGTGAACCAGTCTCAAAGTGCTCCAGGACTTTCATTTTTGCATCAGATTCAGCTAGGCTGACTTCCATTTCTATCCGTTCGGATCTAGCTTGCAGTTGAGCCTTTTCCATTTCAAGTGCATGCTTTTCCTTTAATCCTGCTGCCCGGGCAAGGAGGGCAGCTCTTTCTGTGGCCATTTTGAGGTGGATTGAAGAATCAGAAGAAGTTGCTGATCCTGCTTTTGAGCTCCTCCTGGTTGATGCATTGGAAACACTGTCATGGGGTTCAATCAGTATCTGAGGATCCATTTGAGAGCTTTTCCACGTTTCCACATCCTTAAGGAAATTCGTGAATGCAGACATTTTTGGTTCATACCAATCTATTCTCTCAGTTTCCCTTATTTCCTCAGATAAAAGCATTTGAACAATTCCATGACATTCCATAAATTCATTGAGTAACATCTTGAACGTTGCAACAGCTTCATCCACCTTTTCCACATCTCCACCTCGCACCAGTAATGGGTTAATTTCATTCATTCTGCGGGTGCATGCTCCAAGTTTTCCTCTTCGCGATTGGCTGAGAGTTTTATATCTCTCCTCTGCTGCGGCAACATCAGCTGGAGGTATATCAGGATCCATGGTTTATTTAATTTTTTCTTCACTTAATCCACATGAAATAAAGTCATTAATATTTCCAAGAACAGCTCTTCGCGAGTCCTGTTTTTGTGCCAAATATTCCTTTAACGTCCGCTTCCTGGCTGCGTGATAGTTCGTTAATGCATTTCATTGTTTAAGCATTCCAACAGCAATTGCGGATTATCTTCAGTAAGCATCAGGATATCACTGGATGGATTTCCCGTTTCGTTTTGTCAAACATCCGTAACTATGCACACATCAGTACTTGCATTGTTTGACGAAGCGATCCCGTTGTAAACAGCGTCTCATTCATAAGTTCCGGGCCGGCGTGGTTTACTCACGGCCTCCTCCTCGGCACTTTAGAACGTCCGTTCGCTGTTTCCAAAGCAGAGCTGGAATCCACATGAATCCTGTGCTTGTCCTTCGAAGTCTTTATCCACAGTTTACGGAGTCTTTTGACTATTGTGGTGGCGTTTTAATCCTTGTCTACCATTTAATAGCCACCTCTATCGGGGTTGTGGGTTTTGACGCGCCTCTCTTTGTTTCCAAACAATTCAGCGGAGATCGTAGTTGAATCAGATGAGCTTTATTCACTGATCCACACGGTGCATACAGGAGGACACATTTCTTCGCTTCATAGTAACTCAAAAGTGCATCATTTTCCAAAGTAACAAAAAGAACACGGTCAAAAGACTTTTCCATTTCCCCGTCTATCACCCCCAGCTGTGTCCTATCAACCTACCATATATAGGCATAGCCATGCACGTGATACTGACGCACATATAACAAATAATAAGTGAGCCTTAAATTAATGCATTTTAAACCATAATGTGACTCACAAAAATAGCCAATAATTTACAGTATAATCTAATTTATATTATTATTAAGCCCAACATTCAGACAATAATAACAAAAGGTAAAATGGCTCTAACACACTGTGTTATTTTCAATCAAGCCTAAAAGATAATGTGTTCAAACTGGCTTCACTCACTTGAATTGCTCCTTTGAATATCATTTTTATATATCCCTACTCAACACATGTTTGTATTGTAATGCCACTCATATTTTTTTTTAATTGTATTTTAAAGTGACATTGAATGCTTTGAAAGGTGCCCTAAAATAAAGTGTATTATTGATCTTATATCTGTGCCTCTATTACATTACATTTCATTTTCTATCACACTATTAATGTTCCTTATTTTAGACTAGGTTAATCCTGGTGTCAATAGGGAAGATCTGCACTGTTCTCTATAACATGTTCAGAGCAGGTATTTCTCCTGCCGGATTTGGAACCCCCCCATATCTTTGTCCAGGATAGTCACAACTTCACCAAAATCACACTGGTGCTGGCTGTTCCCCTCTAGTTTGTGCTCACAAAAGCATTTCACTCTGGGCCCAGCAGGTCAAAAACTAAAGAGGGGCTTCCATATCCGGCAGTGCAGTTGCTAGCTGCCGGATTTTGAAGCGCCCCCTGTCATTTTGGCCAGGACAGTCACAATGTCACCCAAATCACACTGGTGCTTGCTGTTCCCCTCTAGTTTATGCTCACAAAAGCATTTCACTCTGGGCCCAGCAGGTACAAAAATAAAGAGGGGCTTCAAAATCCGGCAGATCAGGTGTTGGTGCTGCCGGATTTGGAACCCCCCCATATCTTTCTCCAGGATAGGATAGTGATTCTGTTTTCTTCAAGGTTGTGTCTTCCTGGTCGAATGTACTTATTGTAAGTCGCTTTGGATAAAAGCGTCAGCTAAATGCAATGTAATGTAATGTAATAGTCACAACTTCACCAAAATCACACTGGTGCTTGCTGTTCCCCTCTAGTTTGTGCTCACAAAAGCATTTTACTCTGGGCCCTGCAGGTGAAAAACTAAAGAGGGGCTTCAAAATCCGGCAGATCAGGTGTTGGTGCTGCTGGATTTTGAAGCCCCTCTTTATTTTTGTACCTGCTGGGCCCAGAGTGAAATGTTTTTGTGAGCATAAACTAGAGGGGAACAGGCAACACCAGTGTGATTTTGGTGAGTCTGTGACTATCCTGGCCAAAATTACAGGGGGCACTTCAAAATCCGGCAGCTCTAGCAACTGCACTGCCAGATATGGAAGCCCCTCTTTAGTTTTTGACCTGCTGGGCCCAGAGTGAAATGCTTTTGTGAGCATAAACTAGAGGGGAACAGCAAGCACCAGTGTGATTTTGGTGAGTCTGTGACTATCCTGGCCAAAATTACAGGGGGCGCTTCAAAATCCGGCAGCTCTAGCAACTGCACTGCCGGAGCCCCTCTTTAGTTTTTGTACCTGCTGGGCCCAGAGTGAAATGCTTTTGTGAGCACAAACTAGAGGGGAACAGCAAGCACCAGTGTGATTTTGGTGAGTCTGTGACTATCCTGGAGAAAGATATGGGGGGGTTCCAAATCCGGCAGGAGAAATACCTGCTCTGAACATGTTATGTAGAGAACAGTGCAGATCTTCCTTATTGACACCAGGATTAACCTAGTCTAAAATAAAGAACATTAATAGTGTGATAGAAAATGAAATGTAATGTAATAGAGGCACAGATATAAGATCAATAATACACTTTATTTTAGGGCACCTTTCAAAGCATTCAATGTCACTTTAAAATACAATTTAAAAAAAAATACGAGTGGCATTACAATACAAACATATGTTGAGTAGGGATATATAAAAATGATATTCAAAGGAGCAATTCAAGTGAGTGAAGCCAGTTTGAACACATTATCTTGTAGGCTTGATTGAAAATAACACAGTGTCCGTCTGACATGATCATGTGATATCATTACTGTTATATCATTGCTTACTATTCGTGGTTATCAGACACTTAAACAACAGAGAAGTTTTTAAGAAATAGGACTATACTGACAAATCACATATTATCCCGTCATTGTCTGTTCTGTAGGAAGGAGGAATATAACAGAGTGGGACTGCACTCAAAAACGGAAGTTTATTCCAATACGAAGATTGTGACAGATCTGAAAACGTGTCCTTAAAACGAGCCTCCTCGCAATTGTATGCACATTATTCATTCAGCCGTTTGCTGTTTAATCTGATATATCATTCAAAAGAGAGAAAAAAGCTTTGAAAAGGGTGAAAAAACGGCAAAAGCTCAATACAGGCGATGACGTCACCTTTGCGCGTCCCCGCGAACAGGGCTTCAATCCACGGCAGGGCTTCAACCTACGGCATAACACCGGCTCCCGTCGTTCACTTAAAAGAGCCGGCTCTTTGAGCCGGCTCGTTCGCGACCGACACATCACTACTACAGGGACTCTGCCTGCTCAGTTCATCCAGGGAACACAACTTGAAGCCGGCCGTGGTTGTTTGTTCTTCATGCTTATATATCGGACTATTGTGACTCGCTCTGCGGTTAAAACAGACGGTGCATGAATGCGGTTTTGCGGTAAGTGAAATTCGAGTGCTTTATTTATGTGTTAATGATTTTAATCAGCTCCGTTATGAATGGCTTGGGTTAGCGAGTGGTAGCTACATCAGTGCTAACGATGCTAATCGTAGCCTCCAAGTTAAAATAATAGACTGTGTATATATAAAGGTTAGAACGAAATAGACAAGTACGTGTTAAGCGTTAAGTGGGATAATGCTGTAGAACAAACGGCTTCTGTTTGAGGTTGATAAAATAAGGTCATCCTTGTAACTTAGAGAGATATGTTATTATGTACGTAGGAACTGTATGCATCGCTAAGGTTAATTTAAATTGGCTATGCTCAAGTATGTAGACAAGCTAATGTTGAAGTAGTGTATGTGAAATCAACCTCCCAATAAGATGTGTGTATATTACAATTATTAATGTCATATTTCAAGATGATTACTTAGATATTACAATATGGTTGGTTGAGCTGGAGTTCATTATTGAGCTTACACGTTAACGTCACAGTCATCTGAAGAACGAACCCAAACCTTGTTGTTTTTATTAATTGCATTACCAAATGGGTATCAAATAAACAGTAAGCATTGGTAACACAACTTCCAAAGTTACAGTAAAATAAAAAGGACCCTGACTCGGACAATACACAATCCAACATGTTCAACAGAAGAGAATCAGTTATATTGTTTGTACACATGGTACTTTACATATATATCTGTTTGTTTAAGGTGTCCAGGTGATGTAGACAGGCTGTACCAGAGAGTGAGAGACAGAACTGGACTCCTCACAGCAGTGAACTTCAGCACAGGTACAAAGACTATTTTTTGAAAGAAAGATATTGGTTTAAATAAATGAAGTATTGACTTTAATACACTGATATACATTCCATTAAACAATACTAAATACTAGATCGCTTACACATCAGTTAAGTTGAGGGTTTTTTTCCATGCAAAAAGTCACATTTAGATATTTAGCAATATGACTTTGTCAGCTTTCTAATGTAATGTATTGAAGGCAAAGATATTTAACACATAGTGAGAACTGCTACTATTTATCTATCAATATTGTCTGTAAAAAAACGTGGTAAAAGTTATTCTTTCAGTGAGACAACAGAGCAAGCTTCTACAGTTGCACTACGTTTTGATAACAGTTAAATATTATTTTGATAATAACATATATTTCAATGTTAAATAACTTCATACTGTTCATTCATAATCTGATTGTCTTTGTAGCTCACTGTTGAAATAAAAAAAAACATTACAATTACAAAATAATTATATCTACAGGCCTAAACACACAAACACACCTCTTTCATAAATAACACTTGTTCTGCAATAATATGTTTTATGTTTCCTGTCATTTTTGTTAGGAAAGGACATGCCTGAAAGACACAACATTTTCTCCTTCTCTGAGGGTCAAGAAGAACATCCAAGAGGAACATTAAAAGCTGATGTTGTGAGATTTTAAGACCAGTACACTAAGAAACTACTTTTATTGTAAAAACAGTCAGCTGATCGAATGCACCTATTTCCACATCTACACTCCATCCGCTGATTATTTCTATTTGCCTCGCTTTATGATCTTCACATCACATGTGCCTTGTACCGCAGAGTTTGCAACGTCACAAATAAATGGGGCCAATCTTCAGTCAGATGTGAATGTGTAATCTAACATTTTCAGTAAGAATAATGGACAAAAGGAGTGCAAATACAATTTATTGAAATGTGAACCAAAAGTGAATCAAACATGTTTTAAATAAAAAGCACATATGGACAGAAGGTGTAAACCTATTAAATGTATAAGTAAACACATTTAGTCAAATAAAGTGACCGACTAGGCCTGTGCAGTTGGTATCAGCTTTGCCCAGCATGGGCTCCTCCATCAGGCCTGGTCCTCCTCGCAGAGGAAAAACCCTCAGTCCTCTCCAAATCAACAGACAGGACGTCCATCACACAGAGGTTTCTCCCTGAAGTCTCTGCAGCTCTCTGGACACCAGGCTGTCTCAATCCGTCCACACTGAATATGAGAGGGGGAAAATGAAAATAATAAATGCTTTGGACAATAAGAAACATAAAGTTGACTGTTGAGTTGCTCAGTTTTTTTTACATTGTCAATACTATTACTGTATATAACTAATATCTCAGGTTAAGAATTGCACATTCAAATAAAGATTGGTCTTTAAATACATTTTGGTCTTTTGAATTGTTTGTCTAAAGTCAAGGATCTGGAACTGGTACTTAGTTTTAATGATACAGTCTGGTTATTATGCTGTTTGGGAGGAGGCCTCACAGATAAGAGCACTAACTAGCTACCATCACATGTACCTTAGCTTGACTTAAATGTATTAAACGTAGTTAAGTGATATCAAAATATAAATAACTAATGTCATGCAAACATATGAATACTTGCTTGATACCAGTGCTGAATTTAGCACAATTGCATACAAACATTAAGGGATTTTAAGATTCTGAAGTATTATGCTAAAAACTCAATAATTTAGATTATTTATAGTTTTGCTGAATAGTTTCATGTCCGCTTACCTTAGAGACGTAAAATGCCACGGCAGTGTGCAGATGGGGAGCATGTTAGCTTAGCTTGGTAGCTTCAGCTAGCTCTGGAACTTCCAGCTCGGTGGCAGCAGGTCTCGGCTCCGCCTCTTTGCCCTTATTTGGAGTAGGCGGGAGTTGAACTCTGACGTCGCTGTCAAGCCGTTAGTGGTCGACTCCGCCTACTAAGGGCTTCACGGCAACTCTGCAGAATCCTATGGGTGACGTCACGGACCCTACGTCCATTTATAGTAGGGTTAGGTTATAATAACCTGCTTATATTTGGAGGGGATATGAACCTCGTTGTCGATCCCAGTCTAGATCGTTCTTCTCCTAAAACGCTGACCGCTTCACTCATGTCAAAAACTCTTTCTGACTTCATGTCCAAGAACGGCTGCGTTGACCCCTGGATATTCTATAACCCTCGCATTAAGGAATATTCCTTATTTTCTCATACTGTATGCACAAAGCCTTTTCTCGAATTGATTATTTCTTCATCGATGCCAAACTCATTACCAAAGTGTCGTCAGTTAAATATCACCCTATTGTAATTTCCGATCGCTCCTCTTTCTCTGGATATTTGGATTTCACCGCAACCACGATACTCAACGCCGTGGAGGTGTAATACTTTGCTGTTGTCAGATGACAAATTTAATAAATGTATTGCAACTTCAATTGATGATTTTATTACAAACAATCAAAACGACAATGAACCCATCTCTAGTGCTGCGTACCGGTACGCCGAACCGGTACTGGATTTGTAAAAAGTTTCGGTTCAAATCCGGAACGTCGGGAACCGGTACTTGGACTCGCAAAAAAACTAGCACTTACGTTTATTCTGGTGTCTGTGGTTATTTAAACATTCCCTGATAAACGTTATTCAGCGTCAATAAATGAGTGCTAATCCCAGTGTGCTCAGTGTACAACATCACATGTCATTTCACGGTTTGAAAACGTAGCATTTCGCCACATGCTAATGCTAACCGGAAGTGAATAATTTTCAGAATAAAAGTATTAAGTTAATAGTGTGAATTTCCGGTTTTTTCAGAACAAAACTGATTTAAATTAAATAGTGTATTTAATTCAAAATTATGCCATATCAACATTGATTTTAATTTCTAACAGTAGGCCTATGTATGTACATCACTATGTATGTAGTATGTACTGTATAATGTATACATGTAGAGTTGTAGAAAAGACATGGTGTACAGACAGTACAGTACACTTTGACTGTACAGTCAGTCCCTACAGTGTAGCCTATACTGTATAGTAGGTGTGTAACAGTGTAATGCGTCTACTCTACACCATAGACTGTATATATAAATGGACGTAGGGTCCGTGACGTCACCCATAGGATTCTGCAGAGTTGCCGTGAAGCCCTTAGTAGGCGGAGTCGGCCACTAACGGCTCGACGGTGTCGTCAGAGTCTAACTCCCGCCTTCTCCCGCCTTCTCCAAATAAGGGCAAAGAGGCGGAGCTGAGGCGGAGCTGAGGCGGAGCTGAGGCGGAGCTGAGGCGGAGCTGAGGCGGAGCTGAGGCGGAGCTGAGGCGGAGCTGAGGCGGAGCTGAGGCGGAGCTGAGGCGGAGCTGAGGCGGAGCTGGGGCGGGGCTGGGGCGGGGCTGGGGCGGGGCTGGGGCGGGGCGGAGGCGGGGCGGAGGCGGGGCGGAGGCGGGGCGGAGCTGGGGCGGAGCTGAGGCGGGACAGGGCGGGACCTGCTGCCAACGAGCGTGATGTTCGAGTCCTAGCTCAGGCTAAGAAGCTAAGCTAACATGCTCTCAGTATCAATCGAATGTAAAACATGATTGATGAAAGTAGTAAATCGGTCAGATTTGACCCGAAGACAACAGGAGGGTTAATGCCATATTCACTTAGTAACGCATGAACAACTTTTACAAATATTTCTATATAGTCTGTGTTGGTAAATGTCATCTAGGTTGCACATTTCCTGCTGAAATACATGCATACCAAGTCACTGCGTGGCACTTTGGTTTTGATAAAACAGTGTCGTTCCACTATATAAACGTTACAATTCATAATCAAAACGAGACAAGCTGCAAGATAATTAGCTATTTTGTATTATTCTTAATGCTTTCAATCACACGTTAATAAAATAAGTACCGATACATAGCAGAATAATTGTGGGCGGTGTTCAGCTTAATAAGCCTGGCTCAACATCATTTATTTAGCTAATACTACAGCGGGCTGCAGGCGAACCAAGTCTGCGTTACGATGGCATTCCTTGATCTCCAGTTATAAACGCCGGACTCCGCCGCTGGCCGAAGCTAACGGAGCCCCAGGGTGCTAGCTACGGCCGCCGGGACGCGCTAGCGAGCTAGCAACCCTGCAGCCCCGTTAGCTTCGGCGGCGTGGACTCCGGCGGCCCACCCCTTTTAAACATTTGCTCCCGTTTAGCATTATGGGCGTCATAGCCATATAGTATAAAAGAGTCTTACCCAAGGCTGAATCATAAACTAAACTGTATATATGTATAAAGGGTTACGTCCTTAGCTGCTAATAAGCGACATAACAGGCTAGCTAACAAGCACACAAACACCTGCTAACGGGGTTAACATGTTAATATTATCATTTTACTCACCGAAAAAGCTGAAAGTAGACTTCTTGGAAGATCTGTTAGTACATTCAAGCGCACAGCACGACATTTTAATTATCTGGTATTGTAACAATATTCCCTAACAGGCACGATCACCACGAACACAGCTAAAGGATCAAGTACAGTAACTACAACTAACTAACGTTGTAGCCTCTATGGTTGTAGCCCTAGCAGATTGGACAAGTTGCTGTTAGCTGACAGTGAGGCACGTATCTGTCAATCAAAGTGACCACGCCCTAATGTAGGCACAAACTTTAAGACCTAATATAAATATAAAGGGTCGCGTTAGATTCCACCTTCATGATTATGGATCTGTGAGTGAATTATTTTCTAACTATATCGATAATAAAATGTATGGAGCCAGGGGTAGAAACATGTTTTTTTCTGCTGTAAAATCGGGCATTTTAACATGGGGGTCTATGGAAATTGCTCCTTTCTGCAGCCATCGCCTATCGGCCAATATATGAACTGCAGTGTGTGGCACTTCCGTATTGGCTTCCCGGCTCTACCCCACAGTTTGCCGCTTGCTCTACACTCTACCTTTCAGCAACGTTTTAGGGATTTAGGCTCAGTCAGCTCAGGGACTGTTTTGGTTACTTTAGTTTGGTAAATGAAATAAATGTTTGAACTTTGTAGTAGTTCACTGTAGTTGCTGTCATAAGTCATTTGTAGACTAAGTGGCAAAAAGTGTTTTTTTTACATTTGTACTTTGTAGAGAAATGTAGACACAAGTTGGAAGGGACCACAATAAACCTCACAAGTTTGAATTTGAGTTGATTAGGAGTTAATTTTCAATTGATAATTAGCTCACAATAAGTTCACTTTAGTTACTCACACAACTTGACACAAGCCATGGGTTCAGGTCCGGACTTATAAGTCCGGACCTGAACCTGAACCTCTGGACTTGAGTCCGGACCTGAACCTGAATGTGAGTCCAGGTACGCAGCACTTCCCATCTCTTGTTCTCTGCTGTGGGAATCATTAAAAGCCTACCTACAGGGCCAAATCATCTCTTATTCTGCGCAGTTAAATAAAAAACTCGTTCTGCCAAAATTAAAGATATATCGTGCAAGATAAAAAAATAGATCAGCAATTAGCCATTTGTCTCTCCCAATTTACACAAAGATCGAGTTGAATTACAAACGGAGTTTGATCTCATAACAACTACTGATGCAGAGCGCCTTCTTTTACGCTCACGTTCAACATATTATGAGCATGGTGATAAGGCGAGCCGCCTTTTGGCCCACCAATTGCGTCGTCAGGCAGCCTCACGTATAATCCTCCAGATAAAAGATTCATCAGGCACGGTGCATACCGATCCTAGTACAATTAACTCAGTCTTTAGTTCATTCTATTCTTCTCTATACAAGTCTGAATCGCCATCCGACACTTCTGAGATGGGCGCTTTCTTTGACAATCTCAATTTCCCTACTATAGGTCCTGGTGTTTCAAAAGAACTTGATTCTTCATTAACCTCAGATGAGATCTC